ATTGGTTCCTGGTCACTTTAGGCGCTGCTGGAACAACACACTTAACGCCTTCGATAACAATGATGGTAAGAAGCACAACCATACAATACGCGCGAGATAACCTCAAAAGAAGTTCTCCACTTCAATCCCTCGGTAAAAACAAGTTGGCTCTAAACTGGACTGCCATATCACCGGGAATACGTGCGCTGAATAGCGTAAAATTTTTACTGATATTTCCGGAAAGAACGAAAATTTGTTAACCAAGTAATTGCATGTGCTCAATTCGGTCATATACAGTATATGCGACTGCGTATTAATTAATTGAGAGCAAAAAAAGTGCATTATGAATAAAATTTCGTTCATACCAGGGACAATTCAAATTATATAATAAAAATGTGACCAAGTTTAATTTCATTTAAATTCTAAAAATTCTTCCATTTATTGTCAGCGGTTAGTCACTAAAAAATTAGATGAAATCCAACTTCACACCCAGAAGATAGACGTAAGCAATCTAAATCCAAGTGCATTGCTGATTGATGCGTCGCATCAGTAAATGCATCAATATCAAGCCCAAAATTGACAATAGTCTTGAAAATATACGCGACTTCTAATCTGCACATTGGAGTCAGCAGATTATTATATACTTTTTTCGTTCACATACACTCACATTAACATAAACATAAAAAAATTCAGTTTGATGTTGACGTAATACAGGAACTCCGTTAAATAAATGCTCATCATCACTATTAATGACGCTCATTACGCTTTCCGATGTACTAGGACGGACGTTATATTGTAGGACTACAAATATTGTGAGACGACTTCTCGGTCTAGAAGTGCAGGGTTAGGTTGTGAGAAGACAGCGAATGAAACGAGTGCACCCAATTAGCAACACACAATTTCGAAACATCAGTGGATCATTAGAGTGTCTGGCAAGCGGAGACAACGTTATATGACCATGTAGAGTAAGCTACGTTACATCAACTTGGAATGCAAGGCAGTTATGTTATACCTATAGAGAATAAATAGATGCAGGCGTTATTTGTCATGTGGAATAGATTGGCCCGACCACGGCTGCCGGTACATAAACTCAGGCGACGAATTCCCGAGTTTCTTCTAAAACTCTAGTAACAAAGAGATAAATAATTCAAAATGAAGAATGATTAATGAATTTTACATGAACTTAAGCTTATGAAATTTATTAAAAAATACTAAACCCGATGGTAACTCTATACATACGCGGGCTGCTACTGTACGAGACAAAACGTGGCATTCTGATGCCGCGTATTATATATTAGGGATTAACATGTGAAACCCTAGATAATGTATAGAAGGGCAGTCAAGATGATTTGGAGACCAAAACAACTCTGCATTCTATTAACTATTCATGGGCAGACTTTGGGATGCATGGCTAGCAGAATAATTTTGTTGTAGAAAACCTTTCACTTATAACAAATCAAATTAGACCACCAGTTTTATTGGTCATTGAGCTCATACACGATTCTATTAATGGCCTTCAGAATTATCTAATGTGTGGCCACAGTAGTTTGTCTTGAGAGGCAACAGAAACACCATTGGAGTGACAATTACAATCTGTCGTTATTTCGCAAACCAGCAATCCCAATTCCACTTTTCTTTTTTGTAAATCATCAATCAATCATAAGTGAATTACAACATTACACGAAACGAGTCTTCTATCCTAATTAACTGCAATATGAATTGATGAAAATTTGCAAATTCTCTCGTTTTTCATAGCTGGTAGGGACAAAAAATTTTTATAGGATCGTCTCGTCCAGAATTAAAAAATAACACGTATGCTCACCGGACGCCAGATCTTGCTGAAACAATGCCCGCAACTTTTACAACCGGCGGCGCCTAAACCTAACGTCAAAAAATCATAATAAAGTTTTACGGTAGCTCAGAATGACCGCTAACATCCAAGCGCTCATCGGCATATATGTTTGCTAATGATACGATAAGTGACTACAAAATGAAAGCATTCGCTCATCATTCGTATCAGCGAAGTTTACTAGTATTACCGATATAACAAAACTCATTAAACGCCCTTATTGTAATACGTACTTAAACTAATTCATCTTGAATTCAATTTTTTCTGATTATTACTCCTAGCTACTGGAAAAGTTACGAGACGAACATGGATGCAAAGGTCAACCTAACGACGCGTCAATCACAGTCGTAAAATTGTGGGCAAAGAATAAATATTTTGGATGTCATTTGTAGGCGAGTTTTAGTGACACAGGCTTGGGACAAATGAACTCAGATAAGGAAGCCAGTCCTCGAAACAGCTTTCTACAGGAAAGCCGTTTCGTGAAAAAAAAGGTTTTTACTGCTATGCTCTTAACTGCCCACTGGTCAAACAGACCTCGATTTTGATCTCGACCGAACTGCTCTGTATTCTTGAGAGGAATTGAAAATCGCCGAAAAAGTCAGGAGTTGAAAATCGCCGATAAGTCAGTACAAAAAACATGACGCTAGTATTTTAGGTGGTAATGCAGCTTTTGATGAAATACGGATCAAATTTCCACGCTATTTTTATATCTGTGCTGAACACTGTGTTACAGTAACACTGAGATATAGTTGCCTTGTTGCCAAAAAACTAAACCTGAGCGAGCAAATTCGTTTTGTTTACTCGGAAAATTTTCCTTTTGTCAATAGTTGATTGTCGTACCACACAAAGTGTACAAGTGCAAAAATATCTTACTAATATGTTTGATCTTTTTCTTGCGTTATTCCAAAGTATTTTGGAGTCACAAATTTCTGGCATAAATGCCTCCAAAGATATTAAAGCAAATTTGCTCGTCTTTATCAATTGATAACTGCGGCAGGCTTTACGGGCCCAATACAATAGGTTTCTAGAGTACACACACGAAAGATTAGAAATAAGGACTCGGTTCTTCATTAATATATGGAACTTGTTTCACAACTGATACCTCGATCAAATTCTAAGTCACTTATTTCAAAATTCCTGCGGTAAACCATCAAACATAACTAGGAATAAAGGTAAAATGCATTAATGCAGGAACACCCACATATGGTGATGATATATATAACAATTTCTTCGTAAAATTGTGTGAAAATACCAGTACACTGAGTACAGTTTTCATCGATGAGATATGCGTCGCAATTTCTCCAAGAATCATAAAAGTTTAGACGAGAGTTAACCAAAAAAATATTGTATGAAATAATTCGCTACGATGGTCACTCACCATTCAGACAGCCCGCAGCTACGGATGGAGCCTCAACAGCTGATGACAATACGAACGATCTTCAAAGCGAAGCGTCTTCCCTCTGTACTGATATCAATTTGCTGTTTGTTCATTTCTAAATACAATTCAGCCCATAAAAGCTATTAGAATTAATATCACAAACTTAAGTACAGAGAGTTTTCTAACAGAATGTTCGATGATGGTATGATCTGAAGCAGAATCAGTCAGTGACTCAATCGGAGTCCAGGAGCTTCTCGCAACCTACTTGCACGGCTTTCAAATTTGAACTGATACCACCAGATACTAGACTGCGGACTCATCCGTCCGAGTTGGCTAGAGGATATCTACCTTTCCTCGCAAATCAATTGATTATTAAGCAAATCAGTAAAAAGTAATCATTGAATCACCTGAGCAGCAAAGCCAAACAGGCATCGATAAAAAATTAAAATTTTCAGGTGAAATTTCCTTCAACTTCCTTGAAAACTTCGGGACGTTGAGTGCAATGTAATCTCATCTTCTCATAAAAGGTTTTTGTAAATATGTGTTGAAACGACATTTTTAGACAAAAAAGTTTAGCCAACTTTTAATTTTATGCGCCAATATTCAATTCCATTCACTATCAGACTGAAATGAATTACCAATCGTTTTGCGAGCAGACCGGCGGTGACTGTGAACAACCGGCAATCTTGTCCGTATATACTATAATATACCGTCAGAGCTTACGACTACTTTGCTTACAACATTCACCTGCCGGAACGACGTTTTCAGAAAGGTGACATAGGTCATATCATATGAGAGAACTAAACATGTATATATAGGCCGCTAACGTAAGATTGATGTGCAGTGGGTCATCATCTATAAGCATGCGTGGTTTTTTTTACCCAGTATCATCTGTTCGTCAAGCTGGTCAGTGGTCAATGGTGCAAGGTTTTTGTTTATTGCACGGAGTGGCTAATCAACGTTCACTGTTGCCCAAACTGCTTTATTGGCTCCGGAAGCTCTTATCCAAATTCGAAGCACGTAATAAATACGTTAAGTTTGTAGTAGTAACATTTTACATGAAAAGTAGAAGTCCTCCATAATGGGTTAGTACTATTATATAGGATTAGTTTCGCATTCATCGCACCTCAGCCACCTTCCTCTGCGTTCACCCACGAACCTCTGAATAGCAATTACATTAGTATTTGTCTTTAATGTTCGGAATAATGTTCAGCACAGAAAATGTTATGAATTAGATGATTAGATTAGGTTTTTCCAGCCCGGTTCATAAATAGCCTTCAAATTAAGAACCTCTGGAGCCATCTCGTCAACCATGTATGTAATGTATAATTTGCGATTGCGATGCTATACTTTGCGTCTATGAGATGCACTTACGAAAGAATTGATCCTGCTATGCATTCCAGAGGAGCAATTACGAAAGAACTAACAATTAATGTGTATTAACAGACCGATGAGCGGGCAAATCCTCTATGGCTTTGCATTCAACAAATGCAACTACGACGAAAGCACCGATTTCATCGTATTTGGAATTCAGGCGTTAAGCTCGTGTTCCCATTACACTGCATTCAAGTACTCCTTACGACGCCACTCGAACGTTAATAGAGAAGCACAGTAAACATATAATTTGTGTGCAGGGGAGCATGATTACATGAAGTCATTATGAAATTTGATCCAATCTAAACACGTTGGCAAATCGCTGTCAAAGTCTACGGGAACATCACATCGATTTTCATCACCTGTTAATTAAAGAACAGTGCGGTGCTATTCGTGTCGAAGGAAAATAATACTTCCGTAAATGGATTGACATGTTTATTTGTTTTCAAAGTATTTATTTCTAAATTTCTAACATGCAAAGCGCTTAAGTTGTTCCATCAAAAACTAGAGAAGCTCATATTTTCATTGATTTCTATTCGCAAGTTTCAAAAAAGATTCAATTTACTGATTTAGAAGCAAAGTCACTGCTGGAGCGTCAATCATCGGAAGGTAGACGCTGTTAAAATAATCCTGTATTAAAGAACTCTAAACTAAAAGTTTCATAAGGCGCAATTAAATTTTTAGTTTACAGTCAATGAATTCAAAAATCAAAGTTAAAGTTACCATACCGCAAGTTCCAAAACTGGCACCGAAATTACAATGAATTCCAAAATTGGAACATAAAAAAATGAGTTCCAGAATTAAGCAGACGATTTTATTGACTAAAATAATCAAAAACAATCAACAGAGAACAATACTGACAACATCACTGAAGAGTGAAGATCCGTAAAAGATTCAATAGTAATAAGTGTTTCAAATGTATCTAATTAAGTATTACCTCATGTAAGTGAATATTAGTACTCCAAATATATCAGAACTCTTATCAACGTAGCCGCCGATACGGGAGGCCAGCACTGCACTCAAACGTTCTGCTGAATTTAACGATATTTATTATTATTATTAAATTCAGCACTCAGAAATTTTCAAAGTTCCTTTTTTAAATTTCAAAACAGCTGAATTTCGAATATCGCCGTAAACCTATCCTTCAGAACACAGTTTTTCCCATTTCGTTACAACTTTTGTGATTCAAATTGAAAGACTCAAATATCTTACTTCAAATTCGTTTTTCAATGATATAACGTAAATTTAAAATTAGTTTTTCAATTATATAACGTCGATTCCTAGATTCAAACATCTCTCATTTTAATTAAAAATTTTCTTCTATCAAAAACGTTCATTTTGAACATTTGTACATATTCTGGCACACATATTCGTAATGTATAATATTCGTAATGTATAATATTCGTAATGTATAATATTGTGACACTTAACTACACTAAGATTCCTTTCACACGACATCCTAGTTAGGTAGTACTAATGGACAAGCTAAGTCTATATAAACATGAAGAATATAAAGCAACTATAAGTACACCTAACAAAGTTAAATTCTTGGTAATATACACACGAATAGATAATATCTATAAAAATTTCCGCATAAAGTTCAATAGATTTTTTAATTTAAATTCAATAAAAAGATTTTTGAGGTTCGTAACAGTGAAACTTACAATCTCTATACTATGTAATTTCATTCAGTAATTTCGTAGAAATTTCCAATTGATTAATATCGCGAATATAACTATAATTCTAACGGCAGATTAATAATATATTACCTTTTCTAATTTTACTCACCATGAACGCTACGGTTATTACATTGTATTCATTATATATGACTATTATCAAGTGGGATTGTTGCGTTTGGTTTAAAATTTGAATGATAATTCATACTAAGCAATGTGTTTAATATTTTGTAGCGATCCGAAAACAATATGTTGTTATAAATAATTATATAACAAACTGCCTGCACGCTGTCATTGTACACAGAAAAGAATGAGAACAAAACTAAAGTCATGGCAGCTCTTGAGCAAATAAAAGATAATCAGGTTATACATAAATATAAAATGGTTTTGACACAACCAAGTAATGAACGAATTGTTACATACCTTAAAAACGCAAACGCTTCAGGGAAACAAAAAAAAAATTATATTTAAAAATCATTCTTTGACGAAAAAATGCGGAAGGAACATCGGATGTGACAACGATTGTGGGCATTCGTTGTCACCACGAGTGCCCACACGCAGCACAAAAACATGGAATAAATATTCGATATTTATGTAGAAGATTCTGATTATAATTTGGTAGAAAATACCGTAATATGTATGACAGATGCGACATAATAATTCAAAAGATGATTCCAGGTAGACAAGGAAAGTAAATAGCTAACGAGGATGTTTATAATTGCAAACATGCAAATGAATATGAGCACTAAAGTAAAGGGGTTTATGAACAACCATTGAATAGAAGTTTTTTATCTAAAATTTATAGAATGAGATCAACTGTTATAAAAATAAATGCGTTTATTAGTTATTTCATGCAGTGACCGAATTGGGAGGCTTGTCATCGTGTAGCAAGGGATTGATTACAAAGGTATTTATCTGCGATGGCAATGATAATGAGTTCAATATATAGAATGAAATGGATAAGCCTAGTTGTGTGGCTCAGGAGATCCATTACAGAGATATCATTTTATGTCAAAATATAAGTCAGTAAAATGATTGAAAGAACTAAACTGCAAAACAGGTCAGTCTTACAGTGCATCCAAAATCCATTACCCATCACTGAAAATTAAGTTTCTTCGAGTCCATACGTTGTCAGTGTCATTGAACATCAGAAAATAATGTTAATAGTTGAATTAAATAGCGGCATGACAGCATTGATTTTGTAACAACAAAGCACGTCGTTTATTGTAATACCCAACATCACATGCAATAACGCAATATAGCTGGTCGATGCTTGTTGAATTTGTAAAACACGCCTTCTTGTAATAAAATTCAAATTAATATTGTGACGTTTACAACCATGATCAGAATAGATTTATTATAAGATTTTATTTCTCAAGAGAGAGAGAGAGAGAAACAGTAAAATGAAACCTTCACACAGAAATACAAAACACACGTTAGTAATTTTGTCCCAACCTATCCATTTTTTTGAAAAATGACACAATTCATAAATAAAAATAAGCTTTTCTATAAATTAGATAAGAACAGAAATCCAATTATAATTAATACGCATATGAAATGATGTTTCATTCCCCACTCTTTACCACACGGGGTAAATCAATAACTCTGACACATTCCCTGTATGCAACAAAGGAATATATGAAGAATATTGTTAACAACCACGACGTCACAACTGCAGTTAGTAATAATAATAATTACTATATTAAGTTCCAATATAACTCTAAAATATATAAATCACGATACATCAACTACAGGAACTTTGAGGTTAACGATAACATCGAATTTTCAACATAGAATACTGAAAAAAGCAACAGAGAAAATTTGTTTCTTAAACGTATAAAAAAAAGAATTAAGTTGTGACTAGTTCAAAAACTACACACAGAACATGATTTAATTCGTAACATTGTTTCAAAACCAGTAGTTGAATCAAAACATCGTAAAGACAATTTTCGACAAGCTCAATTTGTAGGCGAAAGCGGCAGCCACATTGTATTCGATCAATTAACTAATGGGATTGATGTTGTCCCATGCAAGTTCAAGACCCTGAAAGAGTTGTAGCAATAATGTAAGTAAAATCTATGATATTACGTTCATATAACCTGCAAATAATTATTCTGAATCATCAATTGCAATAAATTGATAAAAGACAATCTTAATAATGCCACATAACATTGAGAACTCATGTCAACAACATCTAATACGATGGACGATGAGTTGGATGACCAGGGATTTGGCACCAAACAACAGCACCAACTATGACTAAGTCATCCGTAGCGGTACAAAACATAAACAAATGCCCGGAGAACTAAAAATGTGAGCGTGTACAACACGAATAAAAAAAAACAATTTGATCACCAAATTGAAAAATGCATAAAACTAATCAAATAGAAACATGTGTATAGCGATCATAGCCAGTTGTTAATACCGTACAAAACTAAAGAGTATATGTTGAACTTTCCACTGGATGTATTTGACGTTCGGAATATTGTGAATAATTTGTATACCAGAATAAATTAGAGTAATTTGGTTGCACTCAACAATAGGTGTGCGCTCAATTAAGACATATATTCAACTTCTGATAAAAGGAATGCTATAAAACTACTGTGAAAAATACATGAGATTAAATGATAGTTTAAGAAAAATTTACGTGGATTTAATGATTTAAAAATTTGCTTCCTTTGAAAATATCACTGCAAATATTTAGCACACTCCTGTAAAAGAAGCCCACAACATAGACTTAAAAATCTACATATTATATTAAAAAGAACTCATTTCCGTATACGAGAAAGCTACTTGCAACTGCGCTTGGTGAGCAGGCATCCTATCGCGACCGTTGAAAATCCGATCAACTACTACATTGATAGCACAAAATAATTAAAACATAAGGCAGTCCCACTCAGTATTCCAAATGTTCAAGTGGAAGATCAACATGAATACAAAAAGACATCAGAAGCCCGGCGAATATAATCGAGGGCATAAAACGCAATGACGTCAGCTGGCGGGTATTAATCAATCATGTGAGCAAAAATACATAAAATCCTATACATTATATCTCTTGGAAGGTTTTTCTTAGCAGACTTCTTGCTCTTCCCTTTGTTATTCTTATTAGGGGTTATTTTGCCAGCTTTTTGTCTCCTCGTTGACATTTTTTCGACGAAGCTTACGAACAACGGCGGTACGGCAGGAACACAAGGATTCTTCTTCACCACAGCAGAGACATACTCGATTTCTTGTTTGTCGTACAGCTTATCTAGACTGCTTAGCTCTTTAACATCGAGGGTTAAAAGTCGTGGTAAAGAAAGCATTTGGCCCAAGACTTGTCGCCATCCTTCCTTATTCTGAGGTTGGCGTTGGCGCCTGCATTCCGCGCTCGCCCATTTGTAGAGCGCGTCCAAAACGATCTTTTCACTGCCGACTCCCAAGGTGGGTCTGCTTAGAATGGCTGACAACAAAGATGCTGATAACTCCTCAAGAGCTTCTGACGCCAATATAACCTCAGCCTCAACGTCGACCAGTCGCCAGCACTCATTAACAAGTTGTGTACATGCCATCGTAGGATCTATGCAAGCGTTGTCGTAAATATCCTTGTACGGTGGAGGCGAAACATCGCTGGTAGAATTTTGACAAGCAGCGTATGGTGGAGGGAGCTCGTCGTCATGGCTGTCTTCGGCTGGTGGCGCTGAAGGTGCGAGTTCTGAGTCCATACCTCGAGGGCTGTCCAGGGTACAGGAGGAAAATATTCTGCTGGACTGGTGTATCCACGCCATGATACAAAGCACGTTGCTGACGCGCAGGTTTGTAATCAAGTAAGATACAAGATGTTCGATGAGGTCAACAGCAGAATACTTCATGGCTACGTGAAGGGTGTCGAGAGCCTTCTTCGTAGAAGAGGGGGTGAAATAGCAACCGTAAAGCCATCTGTAACGAAAGTTTTCTTACAATACTGCGTTTATGGTTCATTCTCGTGAAGTTATTATATAATGAAAAAAAAAGAGGTTCGGTGTAACGCCAGCCATAGTTGTTTTTGAACCGCCATCTGCATAGTAGCGCGACTTAGCGACCAATAAAACCAAATACGCAGTAATCATGATATGCATATGTGCATAAATAATAATCAATTTAAAATGTGGTTTAAATATTTAGATTAAAATAATTTGATGTATTGAAAACAGTATTCCTTAAATATACTCTGCATCAGCATAATTAAAAAAAGTAACCGCGAAATTATTTCCTATATTTCCTTGTAACCCTAAATATTTCCGCGTGCCTTTAGAAATTATTTTGAGTTTATTTTTCAGATGGCAGATGACATTGAAACCAAGTTGTAAGACAAATTATGTGATAAGAGATGATAGTTTCTAACAATGAATACATATCGGGGTTTCTTACAAAAATTAAAGCTCTTCGGCATTAAAAAAAGAGTTTCGTATTTTTATAAAAAAAACTCAAAAATATTATGGATATTCAAACGTGTGAAACAAATATAATACATACTCACAACAAGGGTACGTACCTATAATATAATTTTTTCCATTTTATTCATGTGTTTTTTTTTATTTATTCCACGAAGAGATTATCGTGATGTCTGGTACAAAATATCGAGAGCACGTTACGAACTTAGGATACTATGAATAACTCCTAAGGAATATATTAATAACTCCTAAGGAATACAATGAAATATTGAATAACTCCAAAGGAATACTATAAATAACTTCTAAGGTTCTAACTTATAACGAATAAAAACAGCTATGTACAATATTAAAAAAATGTACGAAATAATTCGACTGACATACCCGATAAAATTCCGGAAACTCTTGGGGTCGTCAGGAAAATGAAGCTGTTTCGCGGGTTGCGCAAGTAGCTTCCTGAAGTGATCGTTGTTGCGCGTGAGCACCCACGAGTGGGCGGGGATGCGTTCTACGCCGGCCCCCACCCCAACCAAGAGCTCGATGTCACTTGACGTCTCTTTCTCAAACAAATCCTTGTCCCTGTAAAAATATATGTGAGTTAGCCATTTATTACGTGTAAATTGGCAACAATGTGTGTAAACTCGTGTAGGAATTGCATGCATAAACGATTGAAAATACTAAAAAATAAATGAGAGTTAGCCATTTATTACGAGTGAATTTGTAACTATGTGTGTAAATTAGGGTAGGAATTGCAAAACGATCAAAAATACTAACGAAAATTTCAAACAAATCCTTGTCCCTGTAAAAATAAATGAGAGTTAGCCAATTATTACGTGTAAATTGGCAACAATGTGTGTAAAATAGGGTAGAAATTGCAAAACGATTCAAAATAATAACGGAAATTTCATACAAATCCTTGTCCTGTAAAAATATATATGAGAGTTAACCATTTATTACGTGTAAATTGGCAACAATGTGTGTAAATTAAGGTAGAAATTGCAAAACGATTCAAAATAATAATGGAAATTTCAAACAAATCCTTGTCCTGTAAAAAATAGATTCGAGCTGGTTATTTATCACATGATAATACTCATTGATATCAGAAAATTCTAAACAGATTCGCATTTACGAGTCTAACTAGCAGAAGTGAGACACCAAAGAATAATTTGCATCTGAGTTGTAAAGAAATAGTGTACGACATTGAGTGTGATTCGATCATTTGAACCAAAAGAAATGAGACTCATTGTAGTTTGTGCAGAAAAAGCTTAGTTGTTAGAGTATTTATCTGGGCAAAAAAGAATATGAATGTTACAGAGTTATCCTAGAAAAATGTTTAGTTTTTTTTCGTGAAGTACATGCAAATCAAGCGAGGGAGGGAAGTCAAGTAAGAGAGGGAAATCAAACGAGAGAGGGAAGCCAAATGAGAGAGGAAAGTCAAATGAGAGAGGGAAGTCAAATGAGAGAGGAAAGTCAAATGAGAGAGGAAAGTCAAATGAGAGAGGAAAGTCAAATGAGAGAGGAAAGTCAAATGAGAGAGGGAAGTCAAATGAGAGAGGGAAGTCAAATGAGAGAGGGAAGTCAAACGAGGGAGGGAAGTCAAACGAGAAAGGTAAGTCAAATGAGAGAGGGAATTCAAGTGAGAGAAGGAAGTCAAATGAGAGAGGGAGTAAAATGAAAGAGTAAAGTCAAGTGAGAGAAAGAGTTTAATGAGGAAAAGAAGTCAAAAGGGAGAAGGTAGTCGAATCGGCAAAGCGCGAGTCAGATGCGTACTGAGAAACCATGAGAAGCAACGTTTGTTGAAAGTTTTGCTTTCTGTTGATGTTCGGTGCAGTCCAAAAGATCGCCAACAGATGGACACGAATATACCAGCTTAACAAAAACTAACCATACCAGTAAGTAAGTTACCAATGACCTGAAATAACGTACAATAATTACGACTTATTGTATTTCAACTTTGGAGAACTAATTAATAAGATTACAAGGACTGGTAAGCGATGTATACCTATACAGAATTCATCAGTGGATAATTAATATGTGATGAATTGAGAATGGACGGGTGGGGGCATTTAGAACTTATAGGTAAAGTTCCAAGAAATGATGATACGTGATTTATAAAGAAAAAATATATGATGTATCTAGAAGTTAGATGTGATCTATCAATAAATTTTCTGGAGTCAATATATCTTGTATTAAGAACTAATACGTCAAGTATCAAAACTTGATGCCTAAATTGTCAATAAAAGTAAATTGCAATCCTTTCGATCATCTCGTGGTTAAACTTAAACTTTAAAAAAACGTAATAAATTTTCAAAACAAATTCCACCAATAAAAAAGACACGGATAAAGAGAAAGAGTAATTATTGGAAGTAGTCATGTGCTGAAGAGGATCAAAGTCCAGGATTGTTGTGAACAGGACAGCAGGCAATCATCGAGCAGCCAGAACCAATCAAATCTGCATGATTGACCAGCAACAGTGATTAAAAGTCTGTGGTTATTGCTGCTCCAATGCTAAGTGCTTAGCCTACTGAGACTTCCATCTTTTTATCGTTGCATTTTAAACGTCTAGAAATTATCCAATGACATGAGAAAATCAGATGCAGATTATAGCCGTGGAATTTTTAGAGAACGCGTAAATAAATTGTTTTAGTATCCCATAGAGAAATAGATCTCGTAGAGCAAGCATGTTCTCAGTGACTCCCATCCAGTGCTGCGCTCGATATCACTGGAGTTCAGACTGGCTTACAAAAGCAAACAGGAGCATGAAGGTAATTAAACTTGTGCACTAATTCTATACAGGAACATGTATTCAAGAAAAAAATATCTAACATTAAAAGAACGATCTCATGTATTTTCCTGCACCAATTTGACAGACAAAAGATAAATATTATAAAAAAAACGTCACATTACATGGTGCATTGGTGCAATCAATCTACTCGAATGATACAATTGTATATAAGGAACTGATGTAACTAACATAAGTCACACTTCTAGTCGGCTTATTGGCAGTATAAAGATGCCGATAAACTTACAATTGTGTTACAACACTCAGAAAAATGATTGGCTAATTGTCCAAATAGTGATGCACTGGATCATTCTGACACAGTTTTGGCCAATCAGAAGGGTGTATCATTGTTACGTCCGAGCACTATTTGTGCTGTGGATAAGAAAGTGGGACGATATTTGTACAAAATGAACCATTCATTGTTCTGGGTGCAGCGTTTAGCCGTCCTTTTCGTGGTCGAGAACGAACCTATCGAAGTGCTGCTGAGAGGCTGCCATGTCGAGACGTTGCACGGTACGTCTGATGGTAACGCGATCACTGCGATCCGTAGTACACTTCTTGACTCTTGATCGTCTTTTTCGTAACGGCGGAGTCAGCAAGGCTCGGTTACCGCTCAGTAGTAAATTGAATTTCTTCGTATCGATGATAAATTGCAAAAGTAGTAAAGAACGACGGTCAGCGTAGAGTTCCTCAACAACAGTATTTTCATTCACATTTTTATGGGTACATTTTTTCTCCCTTTCTTTAGGGAAATTTTCATATTCCGGGCCAATGCTGTGAGTTATGCAATGGCGTCTCTGTTTTACATTGCTTTTTGATGAATCTCTCGACTTCTCGGAGGTGCTCTTCGATATCTGACCGAGGTTCTGACTGGCAGGAGTTAAAATCGGAGGCTTGAGAAACCCAGGAGTTTCAGCACTACCACATTTCTTGGAGATTTTGTCCAAGAAATTGCGTGATTGTAAAATGCTACAATTATTATCTCGTTGTTTATTCGAGAGGTGTGGAGTAATATTGTTATTTGCCGCAGCTGCAGAGTTAGGTTGATGTTGACGAAGCAAGCGCTGCGTCACAGCACTCGTCATGGTGGGGTTATCCTGTAAATATTAACGCGATCAGACTTTGGCCGCCGCAATGTCGCATTAGATCTATACTCAGCGCGCAATATATCAAGGTTTTCTGAAGCGCTGGTAAACCTACTACTACTACCAGTATTAGATCATAAGTCTTAACGCTGGGGAAATAAATTACTATTTCATTTGACTAATTTCGTGATTTCGTGGATCTTCAGGCGATTTTTGCAATGCTATAAAAAATATAATAAAAAAGTATGATTCATTTTGTGAACATTTCCAAACAATATTTATTTGCCGATCACAGCATATATATACAGGAATGAGTTAAAAATGTATGGTTCAAAATAGAGTTTAAAATTTATAAAACAATCAGTCACTAACAAAATGACAAATACGATAAAGCCATGGCAGACAATGAACAATTCTTCAGTCGATATTTCTAAGAATTAGAGTTTCTATTTGAGTCATTGTAATATCATTTACAAATGGTCAGTATTTAGCCGAGCTCGCACGTACTACCGTCCAAACATAAGAAAACATGCAAATGGAACCTATAACAATGAACTCCATAATTTATGAACGATCAAATAATGAAAGCAAATATCAACCGTATAACATGAAAAATCACGTGTGTTAAAGACAACACGATAATTATATTGATATCAAACTTGTTTTAGAGGATTGAGATTTCTGGACACAACGCACAGTACGCATTACTCACCATACTATTGATCATAGTTCATGCGACTTGGTCAACTATGATTGATTACGATGATTGGCTCTCAGCAATGCAAGTTGACTGACTGACAAAAAAGATCCCCCAGAAGATTGCTTGACACTAAGGTCACGTTACGCCGCTTTTTTTAAGTTCTGAATAAAGAACAAGTAATCTTTTCGACTCTAACAAACATCTACCTTGCGTTGATTATATTTTACCTTAATGGTCTATAGTATACCGAAAGTTTTTAAAAGATATTCCTCACTTTAAGCTATCACTGATAAATTTTTAGAAAGCAACTCGTACACGGACGCATGCATCTTGCAGCGACAACCAAAACGATACATTAAAATGTCTACTAAAAGAAAGTCTGTAGCTTTCAACAGGCTTGCAGCTTTAAATATCAATATGAAAAACTGTTGACAGCGGTAACTGATACTTTGATAAACGTTGAAAATAACCGCATTTCAAAAAATACGTCAACACTGGTCGAGGATGCCACAGACTCAAGCCAGAGAACGAACTGTGCCCTTGTCATCTCAGTAATATCTCCTTTAGAACACTACATCCTGCGGTAAAACTGACGGTCTTGAGTAATCATTGCAAGGCAGATACTGCGGCGTCCTGTCTTTACAAGAAGCCATACCATATGCGCAAGCTTAGGTAAGATAAATGATAATAACTAGATAAAATAATAGATGATGTTAACACATTGTCAATGTGAGACAAGTAAGCAGAAATAACTTTGAAGCACATATGAAAAAAGTAACGTAGACAGACATAAAAAATATTAGCACACATACAAAAAAAGCTGAATAAATTAGGCCCCAATTAGTCATTAAACGTACGGGGTTCATATAATTACATCATTAACGACAAATCATGAGATATCCAGTCAAATTTTTTACGACCAACATGACGTTTAGTGACTAATTGATAATTGATAAATTACCTTTAATATTAATCCTTTAATTAAACAATTAAGGTAGCAATAGAATAGTGGAAAAGAATGTAATTTGTATATCCAGTTATTTTCAAGGGTTCGAATACAAATAAATTAGGCTAAAAGTATAATCATCAAGATATTTCAACACGTTTGCCCGTTACGGCTATATATTTGTACTTCATAACATTCCATCACGATGACGAAATATCCCCGCTGCTGCCTTCTAATTATGGAAGGCATTACGCAACCATAGCAACAGGGCTGTTTATTGTTTAATAATTAGCATCGGGTCCGTATCAACGCAAAGTTAATTAATACCAAATCAGCTTCGCGTCAATTCGCTCAAATGACTACATTTACTAATCAAAGCCAAATTTACTCGCGTTGTTGCGAGCCTATAGTTTATTTTTAGGAAGACGACAGTGGACGATATTGATCAACATGCACATGATGTGACAGGAAGACGATGGAGATAAAGTGTTGCGCTGAAATGGCTGCCATTAAAGCACGAGGACCGTATCTCCAAAACAAGCTCAGTGTTTACACTCCACTCATACCAGGCTTCATGAACACTCTGCTCAGATTGCCACCTTATCACTGCGCAGTGAGCAGCACAAATCTTGACATGAAAAATATTGACAAATCTAGATAAAAGATTAGTCGCTTAGGGTTGATCCGAAGCTATAGCTCATCGATGATCAATACAATAAAGTTAGAGACCGTTGCATAATCATTACAGAGATTCATAGTATATTTGGTGCAACGAATACTTAATTAAACTAATATTTATTCACTTCACGCAAAATAATTCGCAAAAAGCATCTATATATTTCAATAATAAATCGAATTTTGCTTTAGTCCGACAGGAGTTCTTTCATAGCTTTCATAAAGCAAATTTAAATGCCATGGCCCCAGCAAAGAATTATTGCGAATTCACTGCGTATTTTACGCTCATATGTCAGCTTAAACGCAAGACGAGCGCCTCCGAAGATTGGTCTACTGACGCCAGCGTTTGGACGATTGCTGCTGACAGCACATAACATCGGTAGCTGCGTCACGACGATCAGGGCGCTGGTCACCATAACTTTTTTCTTACCAATTCAATTTAAATAGAACTTCATACAAGAGAGGATTAAGGCACTTCAAGGAAACTTTCCATTAAGAAAATTTTAATCTAAAATTATGCTTAACTTGACACCACTATGAGATGAATGCTAACTGATGGAAATATGATGAGTATGACATTGATCAATAAATCAAGTAAGTCCAGGTTTCCGTACAAACGATCTCGATTTATAAAGATCTGAACCTTCACCACAAATTCGCTGTTTGCTGTGAGATCAGTTAAGCAGCAACCTACAATGGTTTGGATGAAAACGGGTGCGATTTAAAAAAAACATGTTCCTCGTCAATTAACATTATCTAATGAAAAATATTCATTTTCCTTTCGTAATTTTTTTTCGAAAAATCAAATTTAATTGTGGGAATCAGCTATAATTTTTATTACATTTTCAACATTCAATGTCAATAAAATCAATCTGTAAATTCGAAATTTGATAAACATTGTGCAACACGAAAACATACTTGAATATCTGCTTGAATTTTGATAAATATTCATTCTGCCCACTAATGAGCTAACGTCCAACGCTTTAAAAATATTAATAAGGGATTAAACGCTTGCAACATTTGAAATGAATGGATGATTACTTCAGTGAATGTAGGCCATTTTATTGCGCGCTAAGACCATATGATGGGAGAATGTTGCTTTAGGTGCTGCAACACCAGCCAGAGCAACGCCAGAACAAACACCAGCAGGTGCAACACCCACTACAACAACACCAGCAGGTGCAACAACACCAGCAGGTGCAACAATACCAACAGTTTCAACACACACAACACTAGCAGGTGCAACACTTACTACAACACTAACAGGTGCACAAACACCAGCAGGTGCAACACCCACTACAACAACACTAGCAGGTGCAACAACATCAACAGTTTCAACGCACACAACAACACTAGCAGGTGCAACACCCACTACAACACTAACAGGTGCACAAACACCAGCAGGTGCAACACCCACTACAACAACACCAGCAGGTGCAACAATACCAACAGTTTCAACACACACAACACATCATACCTACATGGCACCACATCATACCTACATGACACCACATCATACCTACATGACACCACATCATACCTACATGACCCCACATCATACCTACATGACACCACATCATACCTACCTTGCGCCACATCATACCTACATGGCACATCATACCTACATTGCGTCACATCATAATAACATAGCGCCACATTATCCATAAACTGCACTTAATATTTAGCCGCTGCGTCAGCCTGATGTCTCCAAAAAGTATAAAACGGCTAGGATTTTTTTTTCGAAACATTCATGCATGAATAAAGCCAAAGGATTTAAATTATCATAACAAATTATTCTTTCATAATATAGCCGCTATGAGATGGGACAATTACATATTTCATTAATAGGCATTTACTTAGTCTTTCCGTTGATATATGGTCACATCATGATATTTATCCGAGACACATCTTAAAATAAATGGCGTATATTTATTTAAGATACATCTTAGAATAAATGGCGAATATTCATTCGTGATGTATCTTAAAATAAAAGGCGTGTATTTATTTGGGATTTATTCTTAAGATAAATGCAACAAAAAGATTGGAACAATAACGAGTAGACTTACTGTCTGATGGAGCCCATGATGGTGTCGGTGAGCTAAACAGCTTACTCAATTTCAGCTCGAAACTTTTTAATTTTTGAGTGTGACTTAGTTATAAATGCTTGAAAAGGTTGGCTTACACTTATCATTAGCTTAATTGAATACGAAATTGGGAATTTTCAAATCCCACCTGGAAATTAATGATTATTTACAAGATGTAATTTCGTTTTAGTCAAATGATTTTTGTCGCGAAAAATCCTTCGCGAAAACACCGTGTAATAATCAATTGTAAATGCGAATTATGTTCTGATTTTCGAAAACAACAACGATCGGAAGAGAAACGAATATATGTAGGGAAGCAGGCTGATATCAGCCTATCGAAATAAAAATTTACATTATTTCGAACTTCAAAAACTAACAAAAAAACATACAATCAACAACGTTGTTCGATGGATCCACAGCATCGTCGAACGCCGAAACTGAACAATTGAAGACCAAAACCAACAGATCGTGTCTTACATTGTTCTCTATACTTATCGTAAATCCGGCCTCCATATTGAGAAGATTATAAAAAAACTCTATCCCTAGAAAAATAAATAGGAAAATATCGTAATTGTCAATTGCATCTATCATATATGATAAAAATAGTCCTGGCAAACAACTCATTTTCTACTTACAGAAAGAACGTAAAGATTGAAATATGGGAAGTAAAATCCGGAGATTATCATATCGTATATGTGCATGTGCCACGAGTGAACAAACCAACAGACAGAAAATTCCTCAGTGTGCCAAACCTTCAATATTATTATATTAAATTCTGCAGCAGTTAGCACTAAAAAATATTCAACCACCTGGCTGCTTTCCAGTGACAACCAAGCTTCACTCAAAGCAATATAATCAATTACGTATATTGGGGAGACTAATAATTTCCCAGTTGTAACCATACCGCAACGAAGAGAACGTTAAAAAGCCTCTAGATATCCAGAAAACTGCAGAAAAACAACTCGAAAAACAAAATTCCTCAAAAGATACGAAGTTGCTGGTAGCTTACCGTTGAAAGGAAGCTAGGCTAAATAAGCAGATTGTACTGAAAACATTTACCGCAATAATACAACGTAGGATTTTTTTCTACATAAAGACATGTTGAAAACCTGAGTACTATTAATTTGGCCGTGCACATATGTATAGGCTATTTTGGATAAATGAATTCGAAACTTAAGGAAATATGAATTGGTGACAGTAATTCTATGTATTTGTTATTTTACTTTACGTTCATCGTAAAGTAAAAGAGATGAAGGAAACCGGTTAATTTGATAAAAGTATACTATTATCCAGAATAATGTCAACAAAGCCTCATTGTTAACTGTCATAATAACGATGAAGACAAATAAACTTAATAGCCATACAACTACAAGCTGACCACAGATAAAAAAAATCAGAAATGTGACACTGATCACAATTTTAAATTGATTTCTGGAATTTCGCATCGCGCTGGTGACTCAAAATTGCCAAACTAAAAAGTTTAAATATACAGATAGAATCTCAACTAGTTCAAGGACATGGAAAGCGCGCCTTAGATAGCCTAAACATGACAAATATTTCCGACAATCGATGAAGAAGTCGGAATCTGAAGGGCATGAACAAAATCTATCGAAAAGTTCGAGGCAGGCTAGTACCTAATACGAATCGAAAACATGTGAATGGTTGAGACAACTTAGAATTTAGGTAGCTTACAACTTTAAATTTTGACTATTCAATTGAATCGCGAAGAATCGAGCGCCGAAATCTTATGCACAGAACATCTGAATATAAAATTCTCACTGAACAATCTATAGATTGCAATTAAACAAAATGTCAGAGAAGCTGACTTCGGACTTTTGGGTGCTGACCATACTAGTTGATACTGATTAATAACATAGAACCTAACCTCCTTCGACCTCGTCTCCGGTCTCCCATAATGGAATTCATGTATATCGAGCACAAAACCAAAACGATCAAAATCTGTGAATCTGATTGCTTGAGCGAGTCTGAGAGATTCTTGCATTGTTACACATTAACAACCGAACTCGCCCTTTGGCTCTCAGCAAGAGTTGATGAAACTGGAGTACTTGGTAACAAAGATAATAATCAGTAAGCCAGTAGGAACGTCGGATGCGTCAATTAACGTCTGTCAAAACTGCAGTGTTTGCTTTAGACGGTTTAGTCACACCAACTCGACAACTCTTGTGAGTCCCAAAGTCAACGATTTTTCTATGGAAATCGATAACATGTACCTGCATTTATATGGATTTCAAAGTAGAAACTTAAAAAATTAGCCGGCCGTTATCATCGTTAATATCGCAAATGGCTTCCATGAACAAATAATCATAATCCAATTGTCCAAGAGTTGTAATAGAGACTGGCACCAAGATCGTAAAACCAAATCGCCAATTCAGCTTCTTGAGTCAAACAAGTGTTAAAAGAAAGATTAAATAGATACGACACGCAGGCTTTTGATTGTAGCGTTATAGGTAATTATGTAGGCAAAAAGGCGATCGATAACAATGGGTATTAGTGATGACTAGCGTCTTGGCACATCCTCTTCCTCCAACAGTCTTGCTTTGACTGAATAGCGAATACTGACGTCCTAGTCTCTCACCTCTCTCCTCACCCAGCCACCCCTCTTTTTTTTCTCCTGCGATGCATGTCATTCTACATTCAGTTTGCCACTGATACCGTAAAGTGGATAACTTTCTCGAATCCGTGCTTACATGTATCTTGAACACAAGTTGTTCTAAAAACAGGAAATTAGTCAGTATTAGCTAGACAAGATCAAAATTATCATGAAGATTCCATTAGAGCAGTCACCATTCGCTACTGCAGGTTGGCATGCGCTTGGCCTCTCTCGACGCTCCACTCCCCATTCATCCCCCTACTCCCCTGCTCTTCTTCAAGTCAGTAAAGAGCGGAAATCGAACCATTGAGATTATCATAATTCTAAAACTGAGATTCAAGGTCGATTTTCGTCGGACGAAAAGATACTCTAGAATTGTAAGATGCAAATTTCGTCTTCCCAAATAAATTTTTTGCAGTGTCAGAGGTTCAATTAATTAGTCTTGAATCTCAAATTAATTCTGGTTTGAAACAGAAAAAAACTTGTCAACAGAAACCTAAATTCAGGATGATCATTTTTTTGGTGGTATTTTACCACTGTAACTTCTCACCTTTGACTGATTGGTACAGCAGTCAAACCCGACGATTTGAACAAATAAACTGAAAAAATCTCCATCTGTACGTAGATCGAAATACAGAGATAACTAAAGAGTAAAACACACATGAATAAAAAAATCTCCATCTGAAGATAGATATTTTGAGATAACTAAAGATTTGAAGACGGATTTAAATATTATATTCTAGCTAAAATGGCTTCCCTCTTAGGAAATTGCGCGAATGACATATTGCCAGCATAATATGCATTGTGAAACGGCACTGTCGGCTCACTACCATTGCTCATCGTGATTGTATGGAACATAAGGAAATTGTTTTATTTAAACTCATCTGAATTTAGTCACATGATGCAATCTGCATGTCTTTTGCGCGCTAATGGGCGTGAGTCACGAGGTAGTTGTATGTCACTTTCGTGGTGGGTTGGGGGGACTCTGGGGTAAGGAGCCTTGCAGGAGGATACCATGACGGGGGGGGGAGGAGGAGAAGGGAGGAATTCTAGGGAGAAAGGAGAAAGGAGAGGGGTATTGAAGGAGGGAGTAATGGCGGGAGGAAGCCTGGGGAGAGATGTCGGCGTGACCTACTTTCAGAAGTGGTCGATGGCGAGGGTATCACTTTATGAAATATTTTTTAACACAGGCACATTAAACTGCATTTTTTGTTAGAATGTGTTTTTAAATTACTTTAAAGAGCTGCAGAACTCGGGTATAATAAATGAACTACTTTGGCTCAGACAAGCTTTGTTCCCAAGAAAGTTTCAAGGTTACTCATAATTTCAATATATAACTTCATTGCTTAAAAGAATAATCGTATTTTTCAGGCTATGGAAAATCGATGTCTAAAATCTATCGATCGTGCAGCTTAAAAGGTACTTTAAAATAGGGGAATATTTTCTCGGCGCCTGGATGACGTTATCAGTCTGGGTAACTTTTTTGAGTGCCTCCCTGTAAGCCCGAGCCAAAAATAAATTTTGACTGCATGATGTTAACAAGAATAATTGTTTTAAATGCAGTCCGCGTTCTACACCAAACTTGGACAGGAAAAAATGCGCCTTCGATGATGTCGTCTGCACGCCCACGGTTGAACTTGTTAATATAGTGCAACAATGCGCACGCCTAACAGGAAGTTGACCAGGCATTACTCGGAGTTGATAATCCAAACCTCAAGATTACATTCTATATTATAAGCACGAAAATAAAAATATATAACCTGTATAAACTTTGGTGCTAAATTTCACTTATCTTTTCTCGATCAAATATACTCATTTCTTGGATTTCCCGTGTCGTTTCCGCAAGGTTATGTGTAGATATGAATTCGACTCCTACTAACAGTCAACTTACCAAATTATTTTCCGATCGGATTTACGCCAGGCGAAGAACAATTCTCTTTCCAGTCATTCTAGTTATTACGAAACAAAATCGTGGCGAATTAAAAAAATCAATCAAACTTCAGCTCTTGTACTAAAAGGAATTTTGATAGTCAAAATTTAAAGTATCCTTACAATTTGACAGTGGTCTATTGCAGGGTCGATTCAAAACTACTGTAATGATAAAATACCATCTGCAATCTACGTACGAGTAGCTGAAAATATGGCAATATGAATACATATATGGATTAATCAGGCTGCGCTGCATAAGTTGAAGATTTACATCATGTCATTTGAGCGTCACAGAACGTTCCGTTCTGTTCAGAGACTCGCTCTTCAGTATCGACCAATATGTAGGCACGCTGCCCTCTAGACACTCTCTATCGTTGGCATGCTCTCATCTCCGCTCTCTTCTTGGCCTTTACAAGAGCATATGGAGTAATTATAGAATCTAATCCGCCGATAACATAAAACATCAATTACTGTCATAGTTTCTTATGCTTTCAGTTCAAGGTCTGGAACAACATTTGTCCGCTGATACGTTACTTTATCGGTTGGTATCAAACTTGGTAGTCATGCCAGTTAGTAGCTCGCTAACAGTTTACCACTCATTTGGTGTGG